TCCCCCGCTAGCGCTCCTGGCTCCTCCCTCCTTCAAGTGCTCACCATCGGAAGACGCTTCCTATGGGGGCACTTATGTGGGCTTGTTCTCGAGCCAAGCTGTTTGTTTCTGTTCAGACACACAGCCTGACTAGGTTCTGATTCCTGTTGTCTGCTATTTTGACTGACAGCAGCAGAAGCCAGTGGCCAAACCATCAGCCAAGCCTGTGCGAGCCAGGAGAGGAGCTGCTGCAAATGTGCAGAGCACTGGACCAAGATCAGGGCTCAGGTGAATATTTAGGGGGTACTGGGGGAGGGGCTGCATGTAAAAGGTTTTTACCTTAATGCAGAGAATGCATTAAGGTAAAAAAAAAAACTTTTACCTTTATAACTACTTTAACCGCCTCCCACCTGCCATATAAGGAAATGACGGGAGGGCGGCGGTTCTCTTATTCTGGGAGGACGTCATATGAACCTCGCGGTGATCAGTGGTGCGCTGTGTCCCTGGGACACGGCGGATCACGGATCAGCGGAAAGAGCCAATGACGTCGGCTCTGTCATGTGATCAGCTGTGTCCAATCACAGCTGATCGCATGTAAATAAGGAAATGTTGGTTATCGGCATTCCTCTCCTCCTGAGCTGTCACACTGACAACTGGTGAGGAGAGGAGAGCCGGTAATCATCATGTAGAGGGGACATCTACACTGATCATCAGTGCCCTGATGATCAGTGTAGCCCCATCAGTGCCACCTGTCAGTGTCCATCAATGCCACATATCTGTGCCTATCAGTGCCCATCTGAGCTGCCTGTCAGTGCCGCCTGTCAGTCTCGGTGCCACCTACCAGTGCCTCCTCATCACTGCAGCCTCATAAGCGCACATTAGTGAAGGAGAAAAATTACTTATTTACAACATTTTATAACAAAATTTTCAGTTGTTTTTGGTTTGTTTAGCACATAAATAAAAAACCCAGAGGTGATTAAATACCACCAAAAGAAAGCTCTATCTGCCTCAAACAAAATGATAAAAATGTAATGAGTACAGTATTCAATGACCTCGCAATTGTCATTCAAAGTGTGACAGCGCTGAAAGCTGAAAATTGGCCTTGGCAGGAAGGGGGTGAAAGTGCCCGCTAGGCAAGTGGTTAAATTACATCCTGCAGTCTGAAAAAAGCAAAAAAAAAATATGCGCACACAAGGGTTAGACAAAAAAAAAGGAAAAGCTACATGATTTGCAGGTGTGAAAGTGACAACATGTTTACATTGAATGCGGAAGTGATGTATCATTCTTTTGCTTCCTGTGAAGACAGATTGAGCTCTGCAGTCACTTTTGCAGCAATTGTTTTCTTATTCCAGGTCAAAATTCTGTGCAATGTTCTTTTGTCTCTTTTGGTCAGTTGACCATATCGACTGCGCTTATGCTTTTCAGACGGCGGTTTCCCTGAAACTGTATATGCAGTCATAACCTTTGATACTGTACCTCGCGACATGGTAAACAAATTGGCAACTTCACTCACCGAGCCACTAGCTAAGCAGGCACGAGCAATTTGTCCTCTCTGAACCTCAGTAAGCTCTGACATGACTTTATTACTAGCAGTGCATGCAGTGAATGACAAAGTGAGGCTTCCAACCTGTTAGCTAGGTGTCTCATCACACAGCAAAAGAGTATTACATCACTTCCGCTTTCAACACAAAACATATTGTCACTTTCACACATGCAAACCATGTAGCGTTTCCTTTTTTTTTTTTTTTTTGTCTAACCCCCATATTTTGTAAGTGCTGTTCTGCTGGACTACAAAGCATCTTCCCTCTCATTTTCATGAAATAAAGGGAAGTTTTTCTATAGGCAGGTCTGACAACACTGCTTAGGATTTTAGTGCAGCAGAAGCAGCATTGTCACCTCATCTAGATTGTAAGCTCCAAGGAACAGGGCCCTCCTTTCCCTCTTGTATTGAACTGTATTGTTGCTGTATTGTCTCCCGTTATATTGTAAAGCACTGAGCAAACTGTTGGCGCTATATAAATCCTGTATAATAATAATAATTACAGGTTAGTAGCTCATGGAATTTCTGGCAGGGTCGTAATTTTTTATACCTGTACTTCTGCAGCGTTGTTAAAGCGTAAGTTCACCTTTAGTTATATGTTGCCCCACCCCCACCAGGACAGTGGATGCAGGGAGAGGATCACATTTTGAAAATGAGACCACTGCGCTCACACTGCCATGTCTTTCATTTACAGTGATCTGTGAATGTAAAAAGTACAAGTTCATTCAACCTTCCTCTAGCTTTGTAACGGAAAGCCCCTATGGGGATACAGGCACAAAGCTACAGGAAGACTGTGCATCCACAATCTGCCGATCATGGGAACAATACTCTGCAGGCTTCTGTTAGAAAAAAAAAAAATAATAATAAATGCACATTATTTTTCCTGCAACAAGAAGTACATTTACATTAATTTACTTGTCCTGATTAAAAAAATATATATATTTTTGCCAGGATGGAAAATTGATATTCTTTATTAGGCAGAGGTGCTTTTAGAATGTCTCAGGCTTTTAAAAATGAAAGCGGTTTTATAGTGACCTAAACTTTTTAATCTTTTTTTTTTTTTACATATCTTTTAAAAGCAGAGGCCCTAGAGAATAAATTGGTGGGTGTTGCAATTTTTTATGTCACATGGTAATTACGCAGCAGTTTTTCAAAAACAATTTTATGGGAAAAAATGCACTCTCTTTAATTTTATTGCAAAAAAACACATAGCCCAATGTTTTGCTAAAATATAAAAGATAATGTTATACCAAGTAAATAGACACCAAACATGTCACCCTTTAAAACTGCACATGTCTGTGCAACGGCAACAAATAACAAAAATTGTACTGTCCTTAGGCGTAACTTTAAAAGCCTTTATAGATTATCACTTTAAATTTACTGAGGAGGTCTGGTCTTAGAATTGCTGCTCACATTATGACGTTCACGGTGATACCTCACATGTGTGGGACAATCGCTGTTTGTGTGTGTACGGGACTGATTTTTACACTGTTGCTTTAATTTTTTTGTTTTGTTTTTATGATTACTTTTATTGCTGTCACAAGGAATGTAAACATCCTTTGTGATGGCAATAGGCAGTGACAGGTACTCTTTATGGAAAGATCTGGCTTCAAGAAAACCCCCGATACCTCCTCTGCCTTGCTTTCCATTTTTAAATATGGCACCATTTACATCTGAGGAAACCAGAAGTGATGTATGCTCATCATTCCTGTTTCCTATATCATAGAGGCGGAGAGAGTGGTTCCGGTCTTTGTCCGCCTCTGTGATCATCTGACGGAAGTGCCGGCTTGTCAATCGGGTGTCCTGGTGGGACGGGGCAACCCTCACAAGGTGGTGGGGGAAACATTCCCTCCCTCTTCTTGTAAAAGTGATCCAGTGGCTAGTTAGCTGCTTGGATTGCTTTTACAAGAGAGACGACCATTGGTTGTAAACCCTGCTGCTTACCCCCCAGCAGGACTAAATGTTTAAAAAAAAAAAACCTCTTGCTCAATGCCCGTAACTGCATGTCCTGGGTGCCGGGAGATAGGAATTGCACATCCATGGCACTTATTTTATTTTAAAAGGTGAGCTTGGCCTTAAAAGAGACAAAAGGGGAAATATGCATGTATTGCAGATATGTACTAAATGTGATTTTATTTTTTGCTCAGGCATACACTTTGGGGCATGTTTATAAAGTAGCGAGTTTGACCGTTACTAAGATTGTAATCGGGCGGCACAGTGGCTTAGTGGTTAGCACTTCTGCCTTGCAGTGATTGGGTCATGGGTTCAATTCTCAACCATGGCGCCACCTGCATGGAGTTTGCATGTTCTCCCTGTGTTTGCATGGGTTTCCTCCCACATTCCAAAGACATGCTGGTAGGTTAATTGGCTCCTGTCTAAATTGTCCTAGTTTCATCCCTGGCTACGTGGGATTTCCTGCATGGTAGGGGTTGGGGAAAGACCTGGCAACCTACCCTGTAAAATAATTGCTAAGAGAATTCATGGAAAAAGTCGCTTATGAGTGACGGTCCATGCAATCGCCAAGGGTCAGATACAACTGAATGGATAGATAGAAGATTGTAATGTATGTTTTATACCAGGGTGGATTTGATTTAAATCAAACTGATTTAAATCATGATTTAAATCACGATTTAAATCACTAGTCAGTAAGGCTTGATTTAAATCCTAGTTTTCTACATAAAGACTAATTCTTGCTGATATAACTTTAATATACAAGTAGATGAAGATTTTTAGAATAACAACTTTTCATATTAGTTTTTTTATCCCCAGTTTAATAGGTTAATCATTCATATTTGGACAACTATTCTGTTGTACTTAGGAAGGAGAAAAATAATCATTACTTTAATAATAACAATTTAAATAGATTTATTCATCTGAAACAATAACATTCCAGCATATGGTATTTGCTTAAACAAACATCCATGTTTGTTAACTAATTTGGCTAAACAAAATATATATATTTTAAGAATCTTAGACTGTCAGCCCCTTCCTCCTCACACTTAGTTTCACTTTCTTCTTGTGCAGATCTATTCCACTCCAATCAGAAAAATATTGTTTCTATTCTATTCACTGAACTTCTTGAAACTTAGCACTGAAGGGGTTGATTCTGTATTCATAGGTTTGTAGAAGTTAGGATTAAGGTCTTTTTCTTAACTCTGTTCATGTTATAACATTTTTGCTGTGAAGAAGAGGCATGCGATCTCCGATGAGTCAAATTCAGTTTTGAGCATGACGTGAATGGATTAATGGAATTTATTTACCAAAAAAATTAAACATATACAGCCTTATTCTACATAATTAAAAAACTATTCTTTATTTCATGATGGAATAACCTTTGGATGGTAATATATTTTCCTCAAAAAGCATTTTATTAAAAAAAATCCGATTTAAATAAAAAAAAATCTGATTTTTTTATTTATTTTTTTTAAAAATCATTGATTTTTATCCACCCTGTTTTATACTGTATTTTCCTTTTTTTTTAGGCGTTCCAGAAGAAGAGCTGCGGCAAAGGAACAAGTCTTCATCCCCAGACGAAGCAGAAACAAAGGACACCGAAGAGACCAAAAAACCAAAAGGAAGGTCAAAAATAGGAAGATCAGCAAAATGTAAGATCTTTACATGGAAATTGTATTATCAATTTTTATTGCTGACTTGCCCAGAACTAGTGACTTTGGTGATGTTGGTGTGGCTAAAACTATGCTTTTATGCATTGTTGCCCTATATATCCAGGGTGCAATTCAAGGTTGTACTTTATGCAGTTGTCATACCTGCAAATCTTGGCAGACCTCATGATTAAAATTGTCTGAGTTGTGCATGGTAAGCAGTTAGTTTTTTACTTTAATTGTTTGAACAGGGTGGTTCCTACTGTAGGACATGACCATCAGAGGCTATTCTAATCTCACTTTTAGCACTGAGGGCTCTTATATCCTGGATCTGTAAATGTTAGTTGTTAGAATTGCCTATCCTGTCCTCCTATGTTGCTGGTGTCAACTATTGGAAGACGCAGCTTTTAAAGAGATGAAAGATCTTTTCTCTAATTACTCTCTGCCCTTTGTACGCTGCAAAGTTGTTTTACTGATTATTCAATGGGGATCCAGCAGACCTCTGATGTTTGTGTTGCACCTTGCATCATAAGCGCTATACTGAAAAAGAAAAATTGCTCCTCCAATCAGTTTTATCTTAGTGTGTTAGGAAGTAGGAGGCTTTAGCACAACATCTCATTGCTGGATGTCTTAATTTTTAAAGCCCCACTCCAGGAAGTAAAAAAAAATCTGCCTTTGAAGTAGGTTCCCCCCAGGACTGCAAGGGTTAAATGCTTGTTATTCTTAGAGGGTACAGGAACATTCAGTGCTACTTACCCCATCCCACTCTGTTGCCACCATGTTCAGCGCTGCCCTGTCTTCCCGAAGCTCTAGTCTGCGGGAGGGTCCCTCAGTGTTATTACTTACAATTCTGGACATTTTATGTGGTGGGGACAAGCATGTAACTGTGGCCAGGAGCACCCTAGAGTGGAGGAAGCTGATGACGGTCACACTGCTGGAGGAGCCCAGGTGGAACACAGAGAAAGGTAGGTATTTATTCCAGCAACCCTGTACATACTGCAGTGCTGGAAGCCCCACTGTAAGGGTCAATTTATTTTTATTATAATTTCTGAAGTTGAGCTTTAAGAAGATTGTCATAAGATTCTGGTCAGAGCAGAGTTTGGCTGCTCCTTCTGGGCTATCGGCAGAGGAATTTCCCCCACATAGTGTCACACCAGACCCCTAGAAATGTGGGACATAGTTCTCTGAAATGGCCCATTTGCTGCAGCTGCCTGTGGGCTTGAGTGCCTCCTTGTGTGCTTTTACCTACCAAAGAATTTGTATTTCTGTCCTTCCAATACTAAGGTATACATAGCCCTGCCAACAGCGGAGCCAGGTTGGTGACCTAACCTTTCTCTACTGCAGTAAAGCAACACAACCTGACCACTTCCTGGCTGCCATCCTGTCACTGGACAATAAAGGAGAAGCAGCACACTGATGAGGTTGTGCTCCCCTTCATTCTGCTTGTTTAGTTCTACTTAAAGTTGATACTCAAGTCGGTGTCAGTTACTTACACTGATTGCGTTTAGGAATAATCTAATGTTTTTGTATAATAAAAACATAATAGCATTGATTGGTGCTTTTTTTTTTCAAATGTGCCTGGAGTTCGACTTAAAGGGCTAATTCATGCTGCTGATTTGGGTCGTATCTTGCCAAGAATTAGTGTTCCTCAGAGACAGGTATGCACAGGTGTTTGCAGTCATTCGTGGCCGGCAATCTATACAAATCAAGGACAGGCTGACGGATGCCCTGTAGTTTTGGCATATTAAAAGTTTCCCGGGTAACCGGTGAAGTAAAAAAAAAAAATAGCAGCTGTAGCTGCAACAGTCGCCCATACTCTGGCGCTTGTCCCGCAGACTCACTGCTTTAGTTCCTGGGCCAGTGTTATTCAACCCTCGCGAACTGTAAGCTCATAGTATTAAGGCTTCCATCCTGGACCCACATGAGCAATGCTGCAGAGAGGGCAAGGTGGACCTGACATCATCAGACCCGGATGAAGACACCTGGAAAAACGTTTAGTATATAGGGGTTGTCTTATGCTGTGGGGTGCGGCAAGGGTTGGGGGGGGGGGGGGAGAACACTGGGCAGCCTGGCAAGCCCAGTTGGGCTTCAAGTTTGTGATCACTATATATAGAGGTAAATCAAGAATACAGTCAGGTCCATAAATATTGGGACATCGACACAATTCTAACATTTTTGGCTCTATACACCACCACAATGCATTTGAAATGAAACAAACAAGATGTGCTTTAACTGCAGACTGTCAGCTTTAATTTGAGGGTATTTACATCCAAATCAGGTGAACAGTGTAGGAATTACAACAGTTTGCATATGTGCCTCCCACTTGTTAAGGGACCAAAAGTAATGGGACAGAATAATAATCATAAATCAAACTTTCACTTTTCAATACTTGGTTGCAAATCCTTTGCAGTCAATTACAGCCTGAAGTCTGGAACACATAGACATCACCAGACGCTGGGTTTCATCCCTGGTGATGCTCTGCCAGGCCTCTACTGCAACTGTCTTGAACAAGTCCCAATATTTATAGACCTGACTGTATGTGCACCGGATCTCACTGACTAGCTAAGATGTGTTTCTAGAAAGAAATCCAATCCAATGTTTTGTTTTGGTGTACCTATAAATGAAGAATAAACACCAGTAATATGTACCTAATGTTATCAGGTAAAATATCCTAGCGTCTTGTGTTACTTGGGGCATCAGCAGTCATCTCATGTATCCTGTAATCTTGGTGAAGACACAACCCTGCACTGCTTGCCATATACAGACCGGCTATTGTATGTGGCTGTAGAGCAGTTCAGTGCAGAGTGTATCCAGCCTGATCCGCTCCAGCAGTTCTCAGAACCATGAAACTAGAAAGACGTCTTCATTATTTCACACAGAGGCCACTTCACCTCTCCGGGGGGGTCTGTTATCCTGGACAACTGCAGGAAGCTCAGTGTTCATTACATTGGGCCCAGCCATTTAAAGCTCTGTCTCACAATACAATTATTGTACCCAGCATGGGTGCACTGAGCTCAGTGATTACTTTTTTGAAAATGTTTGTGCTCATCAAATAGTACATGCCAAAATCTACAATGGATAAACCTGGCGTTAACAAAATAGAGCAACATTCTACTAAATATTGTTGATTCAAGCATGTGCACTCAGATCCATTCTCCCTGTGTCATCACCAGAATTGCCATGCTTATCTGTACTGGGAATTGTTGAATGTCTACTTACTGCTACTAAAAATATTCTTTGACACCAAGAAGGTGCTTCTCCCGTATTGGCTTACTGCTTTTCCTAGATTACTAAACAGAGTTTGCAGTCAGTCTTGCGGTGAGCCAGTTGCATGTAGTATGGAGGTATTGTAGGGAGGAGCCTTGCCGTGCTGACGTCACACCGCTGAGGCCGAATGTTGGTCCGGCGGCCATCTTTATCACTATACATAGCCGTTTAAGGTGGAAGAGTAACATCAGACAGTATCGGTGTACCTTGGCTGAATTGGATAATAAGGAGCAGTTCCTCCCACACTCCCTGTGCTGGATTGGTCCGTTAGATGTCTGGAGTGCTTCCCCTGCTGTATGTGTGTGCCAATGGAGCCCCCTTCTGCTTCTGACCAGATCCATGACGACCATCAGGGTCCTGTTTGGAGGTTGTTACATGCGCATATGACTTGCGCTTCCGGTAAGAGCAAGCACATACCAATTTATCACCATCTGAAGTCACGAGCACTGGAGTCATTTCCAATATTCCTGCTTCCCAGTCACCAGAATCACTATTATGCTTGAAGTGTTATAACTATTACTGTCTCTATTCTCATCCAGTCACAAGTTTACTGGATTATGGATTAATGAGCATTCTTTTTCACTTTATGAACTTTATTTACTTATGTTTACACTTCTATACATTTCTAGTGCAATATTTTTCAATTTATTTGTACTTATTTTGGTTTTAATTATTTATCCATTCACTATATGTCTTGTCACTGGATTTTCTCCAGCTATTGCATATTTTTTATACCAGATCAATATTATTTTATTTGCGCTGCATATTGATTTAGCATGTAGTATGGCATTCCTGGCACATCTCTGGGTTTACCGTACTGTACTTCATTTCTGTACATCTAAAGGTATGCTAAGGGTAAAAAGGTGTTTTTTGTTTTTTTTTTAAAATTACAACACTGGGACTGAAAGTGCTTCAGTACTTTCAGAATCACTGACCCAAAATAAGCATGTAAATTTAAAAAGTCTTCATAATGGTTCCAGATCAGTAATTCCTAAAAGTCAGAGAATTAACAGGGCAGGCAGGCATTGAGTACTTTTAGGAGGTCAGAAATGGTGGCTCACACATTTCTTTATTGACGCCTCTCAAGCTCTTATACTGCCATTATCACCTTTTAATTTGCTCCTTGATAAGTCAATAACCTAGAACAAAGATATTCATATCCAGATTTTCTTGGCGATGCCCCAAACTTGCAGGACTGCTAGGCAGATATCATTAGGCATGTATAACATCCTGTGCAAGGACAGGCAGATGGTTCCTTTTTCTAAGTGGACATCTCTGTCTGTCTATGAGCAGCCCAAGGTTTCCATTTTGTTTTGATTTTTTTTTATTGCAAAAAGTCTTTAAAGGCTAAAATGCTTTGCCATTGAACTGACATTGTTATGCTTCGATATAAATAGTGCTTACCAGAGTATCTTTATGTATGTATGTATGTATGTATGTATGTATACATTCACCAAAAAAAAGTTCAATCTTAACAAGAAAACATCCAAATACACAGATTAAATATACTTACTATATGTGAGCTATGTAACCTGCAAAAAGATTTGTATTGCTGTCAATCCAGTTTTAACATTTACACTGCTTTGCCACAGAGCAGTGCCTTTTCTCAAAGGACCGGAGACATGATTTGTCTCTGCTACTGTTAAGTAACACTTACAGTTCTTGTCCCTCCTTCAGCAAAAAGGTGAAGTAGGACTCTAATGAGCTTACCTTGTGGTTCTACCTGCAATTCCAAATCACGCTGAAATTACGGCAAAACGCAAGTTTGGGTGCCATTCATTCTTTAATGGCACCCCAAACATGGTTTGCATTTGTCATGTGACAAAAATGATCATGAAATAAATTACACAAAGCTAGTCACTCACAAAAGGTGCATGAGCTTCTTTTGCACGATATGTGGAAATGTGTGCAAATCTCCACCAAAAATTTGAATGTGAAGTGTGAAAGGGGCCTCACTCTGCTCTCTCCTCCTCCCATCATGTTTCCTGTTAGCACATAAGCACTACAGAACAGTTGACTGACTCCTTGTGCTGCATCTCCCCCTTCTAGTTTGAGCTCTGCGGTACAAGAACTGTAAGAGACTGTTGTCAGATCAAAGTTGAGTGCTTAATAATAAACCCTCAGCAGATTTTAGCTTAACATAATAAGCACAATTACATAATCATTCCACAGTAAATTATTTGTTCTGACCCCAGCATTTGCAGTTTGACTTTTGATGCTGCTGGTTCCTGCTTTCTCAGTGCTGCTTACCTGAACTTCTGGTCTATAAAGGACATAGTAAACAGTGGACCCTGCAATCTCAAGTCAGCCTGTTAGTTTGGAGAAGGGAGAGGGAGGAGGATGGAGGAGAAGGGGAGTGCCTTACCATCCTAGGGCTGTGTTTTTCTAATGATACACACACTTGCAGGGACTACATTGGTCTCTCCTTACACTAAGGGTGGCTATGCTGCAAGAGAAAGCAGTCACCCTGAAACAGGAAGCCTGGGGCAGCAGCCATGGCACTAGCTTAAAGTGGTATTAAGCCCAAAAGCAATCATTTAAAGCGATTCTAAAGGTTCATTCTTTTTTTGGGGGGGGGGATAACAAGCATGCTATACTTACTGTGTGCAGTGGTTTTGCACAGAACAGCCTGGATCCTGCTCTTCTCGGGTCCCCCACAGGCTTTCCTGGCCCCTCCTTCCTGACGGGTGCTCCCATGGCAAGCAGCTTGCTATGGGGCACCCGCTGCTCCGTGTGTCCATTCACACAGGGAGCTGCTGCTTGGCCTCGCCCCCCTCTCTCCCCTCATTGGTTGATTGCCTGTGATTGACAGCAGTGGGAACCAATGGCTTCCGCTTGCTGTCTCAGCCAATGAGGAGGCAGAGACCCGGGACAGCCGAGGCTGTCATTTACATCGCTGGATTCTGATGAGGCTCAGGTAAGTATTGAGGGGGCTAGGGGCACTGCTGCAATCAGAAGTTTTTTTTTTTTTACCTTCATGCATAGAATGCATGAAGGTAAAAAGCCTTGAGCCTTTACAACCACTTTAATATATTGCAGTCTACCAATTCTTAGATGTGATGGCTACATTCATTTTCTTTTTTTAGGCTTTCTTTCTTCTATTGTCACTTTGTTCTTCAACAAAACAAGCTGTTCTGCAGATGTATCCGTTACAGGGTTGAGACAAACAATTTACTACTGACAAGGGTGCTTGCAATGGTCCGCTTTATTCAATTATGGAAAAACCTTTATCCCAAATGTAAACTGTTTGCTGTAACTGAATATGAAGTGTTAGTTGGGGTTCAGCTTCAGTTTGTCAGTGTATCTAAATCTGCTAGTACATCAAACACTCCCCTCCCCCCAGACTATCAATGCTGCTGTCCAAAGGTGTCCCCTGTGCTCCTTCATCCAGATACAGAAGCTGGCTTAATGGCCAGATCATCACGTGAGAACAGGGAAAAAAAGAAAGCTAATGCAGCCATGCACATCTTTTGATTGGTAAGCTGGAATATATTACATTTTCAGTATTGGGTTTAATACTGCTTTAAACTGGAACATAGGCAAGGATTAAGGCTAGGTTCACACCTATGCAGTTTGCGTTTGATCTGTTTCTGCAGTGCGTTTTTCATTTTTGCTCATGCGTTTTTTCTTGTTGCTAGGCAGATTTGCTCAAAAAAGCAGCAAAAACGTACTACATGCTTTTTTGCAGCGTTTCCATTGAAGTCTATAGAACCAAACTTACTGTGTTTAAAAAAAGTCCCTGACCCTTTCCAATAAACGCACCGAGTGAAAACGCAGAGATGTGAACCTGTCCCATAAGAAATCATGTTAAATGGACTGCTGAGCATTTCCGCAAAATGCTGCGGAAAATGCTTAGGTGTGAACCTAGGGTAAAAGGTGAAGAATCTGCATACTCAGTAAATGATTAAATCGGCTGTTGAAAGTGCTTAATAAGAGTTTAAAATCACTTTAACACTGCTTGCATTTTAATAAACAGATTCAATTATGTATTTATAAAGTGCATCAATAATTTGGGTCTTTTATTTCAGCTTTACACACTGTGCCTTTTAAAAGCTAGATGTAACACAGACCCAGGGAGGTAAGGGTGTTCTTGACAGGCATGCAAATTTTAGTTTATTCAAAATATCTGTGTGAGTTGGGAGTGCATGCAAATGTCCACATTATTACCAACAAAATGGGGTTGATTTACTAAAGGCAAATAGGCTGTGCACTGCAATTGCACTTGGAAGTGCACTCGCTCTAGATCTAGGGAACATGCAAAGAAAAAAAACCCAGCATTTTTGCTTGCACTTGAAAGAAATCAGCAGAGCTTGCCTCATTTTAGAGCTTCCCCTTGGATATAAAGCAGCAGGTGCACTGCAGTGCACAGTAAATCAAACCCTATATGATCTTTTTTTTGTTTTCATGGAATTAAATGAGCACACAATTAATAAAACTAAACTACTTGTTACCTTAGAAAAATGAATTCTATAATTTGATGCTTGGTTCATTGCAAGTACTAATGTTCAGTACATTACTCCCGCACTAGAACAGCTAGGTTGGGATGTAAAGCCTTAGACACACGGTGAGAAAATCAGACGAAAAGAAAACATTTTTGGAGCGATTGTCCGATAAGCTGATCGTTCATTCGTACATAGCTTTTGAGAGATCACAACAGTTCACGTGAAAATATCCGAAGGGACAAGCACGAAAAATGTTCTCGTAGAATAACTGAATGAATGATTTTCGTTTTAAACAATTAAGTATTTGTCCATAAAAAATAAAGTGACCAAGACTGCGCATGCTCGGAAAGGAAAGAATACATTACAATATAATACAATACATGACATCATCACAGGAGTTGTATTAGGTCTTACGAGAATTTTCATAACTCTAGTAACATATTCGTTTTTGATATGAGACTAGAATCCAAAGAGAAAACGGACAATTATTCGTGTGAAATTCTCATCGTGTGTACTAGGCTTAAGTTTCTGTTGTCACCAGCCAGAGTAACTTTTCCATATTTTGTCTGTACACTGGGGAGTTTTGTATTAATTGGGAGATATATATATTTATTTATGTATTCACATTCAAAGCGCTGCACTGTTCTATATATATTTTTTCCATATATGTTACTAGAGAGAGGCAAATAGAGGGCAGATGACGCGGCAAACCCTCCAAGGTTGCTGCACAGTACTGTACTAGCAAGGCTGTCAAGGTTCTGTAATAACTGTGGCTCACTAAACGTCCTATGGAGAACTGCTTTTTCATTAAGTTGCTGTCAAAGATGTATTTCCAAAAGATTAAATGAAGTTTAAACATTTTTTTTTTTTTTTAATCTTTTCAGATGTGCAGTGGTTTGCAAAGCTGTTTGTTGGATGCCTGTTAATGGTCACAAGTGGCATGATGTATGCGATTTACCTGTCCACCTATCATGAGCGCAAGTTCTGGTTTTCTAGTCGGAGGGTAAGAATTCTACAGATTATTGTCAGTTACTGATGTTCTGCAAGGTTTATCTGGCACTGTGATCAGCACTATGAGGCAGCATGTAAGATGCCAGGAAGTCACAGGAGAGACAGCGGAGGATGTGGTGAGATCCCACATCTCTTGTGACATTCTAAAGCTGAGCTACAAGCACAAAAATTTAATTGAAAGGGATAGTTCACCTTTCACAAAAAAATTAAAAGGTGAACTAACACCCTACACCCTCCCCATTCCCCATGTCCCTGCTGTACTAACTCAGTGGGGTTGCTTTCACACTGATTCGAAAAATGTGTGACCATGTAATCCTATGGAACTCTTCACACTGATCTGTTGTGGGTCTGCTGCATTTAGTAAAATCCTTCTTGCTTCACTTTTGTACAGCTGGAAAAAAAAACCAAAATGCACCAAAATTGTACCTCCCCATTGAAATGCATTGAAAATGTGGGGGAAAAGGCATCAAAAACAAACCTGCTTTGAGTTTTTGATGCCGTTTTTGAGTCACAAGTCCTATGTAAAATGCATCGCAAACACGGCAAAAAAAAAAGTATTATTCTTATTATACAGGAATTATATAGCGCCAACAGTTTGCTCAGCGCTTTACAATATAACGGGAGACAATACAGTTCAATACAAGAGGGATAGGAGGGCCTTTCTAGTTGGAACTTACAATCTAAGAGGGAGGGGCTAGTGGTACAAAAGGTAATAACTGTGGGGAATGGACTGGTAGGAGGAGTAGAAGATTCCATTATTAGCTGAGGGCAGGATAGGCTTCCCTGAAGAGATAGGTTTTCAGAGATCGCCTAAAAGTGAGCAGAGTAGGCAATAGTAGCCTTAGTGATGGGCTGTCAGTGCCCATGTAGCCGGTGTAGCAGTCTGGGGATTTGAAATTCCCCACTCTTCTTTCTGTAGGGCTTCCAGGATGGATCAGAGCAATTCTCTGTGCCTGCACTGATCAATCAAAGTCGCTCTGACCAGTCCCGGAAGCCCTTCAGAAAGAAGGGGAAAAAGAGTGGGGATTTCAAATTCCCAGACTGCTACACCTTCTGTGTGAGCACTGACAGTTCATCACCCATGGAAGTAAGTACGGTGAGGTCCAAGGGAAGGTGTGTAGGGTTTTAGATCACCTTTACATTTCTTCTGCAAAGATAAACTTACGCTTTCAGTATATTCCTTAATAGCCACAAAGGATATAAACCTAAGTTGTGTTCAGCATATGACTTTGTAAGTCCATTTATTATCACAGTGACATCATCACTGTGCTGTATATAGCCTGTGCAGAGGGCAGAGCTGTGGGAAGAACCCAGCAGGCCAATCTGCTGCAGGCTGTCTGCAGGAAACTACAAGGAGGGGGCGGAGACAAGACCAGTCGCCCTGCAAAAGGAGAGAGAGCAGCAGTGAATGGTCTTTCTTACAAAGCACACCAAGTAAAAATATGCATGCCTCCTTGTATTTAAACCAGGTTTTACTTATCCTGAAATTCAGCACATTACGAATCTCTAGCAGTAACCTTTCTCTTGTTTCATGGTCGGTTTTAATGTAGGACATATCAGCAAAGGTTTTCCTGGCATGCATAATGCATACAATAATTAACTCTGATTTCTATTATTAGACTCGTAACTTAAAGGTTTGTCCCTGGAAATTGACTTTTTTTTTTTTTTGTGGAATAAAGTCTTCTCTGCATGTTGGGCTAAATTATAGACATTATAAAATAATCATAATAAATAGACAAAAAAACATATAACAAATGAAGCCAGCAACAATCGTGAAAAGTTGCTGCTGCCCAATAAGTGTCTGTAACATTAAAAGATTCTAAAAGTGATACACGAGATAACGAACAATTGTGACAGTCTTAATGGGATGCAGTGCCTTAAATCATAAACCCTTGTGTCTTCACCACGTGCCGATAATAATATGTGAATTGCTCACTCACCAGACCTATCTGACCCCAGTTAAGACGGTCAAATGCGCTTTTTGGTAAAATGTATAGGAAGATCAGCCTCTGGTTATCCTATGATGTTCCTCTTAATCATCAGCACACCGCAGGGCATATCATCCAAGGAGATAATGGTATTGTTTCCAATAAGCCAAACAGTAGATGGACACTCTATATCCGGCTCTCCTTGCTTTTTAGGAAAATGTTGCCAAGCCACTCAAATAAACCAGACATTAAGCAATTCTAAGTGTAGCATTTATTGGTAATAGTGGGTTTTAAAAAAAAAAAAAAAAAAGTGCACTCATATGTAAAGGTGCCTTGTTGGCCGGCACCAACATGTACAGCCTAATAATCCAAAAAGATGGCTGACGTGTTCCAAGCCTCGCTCTCACCGGGCTGGACATGACATGACCGGAACACGGAAGTGATGGAATCACGCTTCGACGTACGTTTCGCCAGACGTTGTCATCAGGAAGTGACGACCAACATATCCGGGCTAGTTATATACATACTAGCTTGCACTGATTGGTTGGCTAAACAAACCAAGTAGTCAATCACATTGGAAGGCTCCGGATTCATGGCCGATAGTGAAATGACTTGTATTAGTGACTTGCTGTACATACTGTCGCGGTACAGCAACCCTACCTTCACACTGTGCACATTTTCTACAGCTCATCCACTCCCTCATCATATCACGACTCGATTACTGCAACTCCCTCCTCACTGGCCTGCCTCGCCACAGCTATCCCCGCTTCAGTCGATCCTGAATACGGCAGCCAGACTCATTCACCTTACCAACCGCTCCGTTTCCGCCACCCCCCTCTGCCAATCCCTCCACTGGCTTCCGATTGTGCAAGGGATCAAATTCAAAATCCTAACACTGACGTACAAAGCTGTCCACCATACTGCCCCGAACTACATCACTGACCTAATATCCAAGTACCACCCAGCACGCACACTCTGCTCCTCACAAGACCTCCTTCTCTCTAGTTCCTTGTTCTCCTCCTCCCATGCCCGCCTCCAGGATTTCTTCAGGGTGTCACCCATCCTCTGGAACTCCCTACCCCAATCTATCAGACTATCACCTACTCTCCTCTCCTTTAGGCGCACCCTGAAAACCAACCTCTTCAAGGGCAGCCTACCCCACCCCCTGCTAACTTGCCGACCTCCTCCACTCTTCCTACCACTCCATCCCCCACAGCTATCTCCTCCTGTACCACTATCCCCTCCCTCCTAAATTGTAAGCTCCAAGGAGCAGGGCCCTCGAACCCCTCGTGTATCGCATTGTATTGTTGTACTGTCGAATGTTCTGTCTCCCTTTTGTAATGTACAGCGCTGAGCGATCCGTTGGCGCTTTATAATTACTGTATAATAATAATGTATATTATACAAAGTTACATGTTACAAATAAACTAAAATAACTATTTAAACAGTTAAAAATATTGCATGAGAAATTATATAAATTTTATATATAAAAATTGAATAAAAATAATAAAATAACCGATGCCTCAAAGTATTCTAATTTGGTTGGCATAGATTTAGTAAACATGCAATAGAATGGCATAAAGGTATTAAATAATAATACAAGGGTTTATGATTTATGGCACTGCTCCCCCTTTAAGACTGTCACAATTGTTTATCTCGTGTATCAATTTAGAATCTTTTAATGTTACAGACACTCATTGGGCAGCAGCAACTTTTCACAGCAGCTCTTTCATAATTAGTAAAGTCCAAACTGTTTAAAAATCCAGTAATACAGTGTGGGAGATTTCAAGACTGGAGTACTCAGTATCTGGTGCAGCTGTGCATGGTCAGCTTCTAACGTCAGTTTGTTCAATTAAGCTTTGGCTATAAAACCTGGAAGCTGATTTGTTACTATGCAGAGTTGCACCAGATTCTGCACTCTCCAGCTTTAGTAAATAACGTCATCTGTCTCATCCTGCTCTGCACGTGCTTATTTGCTCTCTATTTTTTAGGCACTGTGCTGAATTTGTAGAGGCCGATCTGCTGACAGTCTAAGGATTTATCACTGCTCAGGGGCTTGGGCTTCAGCAAAATGGCAGCCTCCAGCAAGAAGCAGCAGGGGCAATGATGGAGGCAATTTACAGCACACACTAATTTTGGTATCATTATTATTAATGTGGAAAGTATGTTTCTTGCCCTTTCACACAGGCATTCCATCTTTCTGTTTTTCATCCATCCCTTGATGAAAGAAAAAACAGACATTAATGCATCTGTATGGAGAAACTGATGTAAACAGATGATTGTCCATTTACATCCCCATCCGCCAACAAAGGTTTTTTGGAACGGTTCAAAGCCCTAATTTTGTTCTGTTAAAATAAAAAATAGAACAGATGGAAAACGGAAGTAAATGGACAAACGGTCCATTTTTGCATTGGTAGTTGATGTAAAAAACTGATGTAAAACTTATGTAAACTGATGAAAAACTGATTCTTGTTGGGTTTTTTTTTTTTTTTGTACTTTTTAAATGTGACTGAACTGATGAAAAAAACGGAACACCCCCGTGTGTGAAAGGACCCTTTGGCTAGCTATACATGGCTTGAACTCCAGCTGATTCCTGCTGAATCAGCCACAATTTGAGCCGTAGGTGGCCCTGTCGGCACCACCTTGCTCGTTAACCTCTTCCCACCCGGCCTATGGCCAAATGGCGGCCGCGCAGCAGCACGATCTGTCACCGGCCGTGTACCTTGGACACGGCCGATGACAGATCTGAGTACTGACCCCGTTGCCGGTACCATCTGACCTGCTGTGACCAATCACAGCAGGTCACATGACCGTTGTATACAATGGATGGCTTCATTCATGCCATCCATTGTATACTAGTGTGTCTAGCTGTGAATGATCACATGCACAAGCTGGGCCAATCACAGCCCAGCTGTGTCATGTGATTAGCCGTGGCTAATCAGTACAATGTTACTGTGGTAACATTGTACTACTTTGGTCATAGTGAAATATGAAAAAAAAATAATAAAAAAAGAAAAAATTGTAATAAAAAAAAAAAATTTTTTTTTACATACTGTCACCAGTC